AAAAAAAAAAAAAAAAAAAAAAAAAAAAAAACCTACCTACCTACCTACCTACCTACCTACCTACCTACCTACCTACACACCAACATACCACACCACACTCCAACATTTGAAGACAGAAGACTGCCCTCGTTTCCTTAAGCGAAGAGTAGACCATCAACTCCTTTGCGGATACATTCCGCAATACAATCTTGAAGAACTCGTGGAAAAAAAAAAAAAAAAAAAAAAAAAAAAAAAAAAAAAAAAAAAAAAAAAAAGAGTGCAATAGATTCTTTCATCCAATTTATTACATACATTATAGACAATTTAAAGTTATTTAATAATCCCATTACTCAGAACGCGTCATAACCACATTATTTACATTTATCTCACAGACTTCTACACTACTTACTATTATTATTTATTGTTTATGTAGATTTAGACTGTATAGCATAGCATAGCATTAAAGAAAAAAAAAAAAAAAAAAAAAAAAAAAAAAAAAAAAAAAAAATTGTTAACTATTTTATTTCAGTTTCTTTATATCATCTGTGTCAACATTGTCTACTTTTAAGCTATTTTAGTCCTATTATAGTTTTATAAGCACTTTGCCCAGCAGCAGTAACACCAAAAGTATCCAATCGCTACGGAACTGCTGTCCTGGTGTTGCGTTAACAATTTATATTCAATTTTGTATATTATTACTATTTTTATTTTTACTGTTTAATCATGTTTATCCGCTGTGTTGTAATATTGCTTATGTGTACAAAATAAAGATATGTGTACAAAATAGTGTTCTTCTAGGGTAATCTTTTCTTGTTTAAGAAATTATCTTATGTGGCTAACTATCATCTTCTCTAAGGCTTTGCACAAAATACAAGTTAGACTGATAGGCCTATAGTTGGTAGGGAGTAATTTGTTATCTTTTTTGTAGATTGGTACTACAATTGCTCCTTTCCAGTCAGTGGGCACTACTCCATCCTTGAGAGACTTATTCATGATTTTCGCTATGTTGTCACAAAGTGCAGTATCGCTTATCGAAAACTCGAAACTCGAAAATCGAAAATCGCATATCGCGTTATGCATATAGCGCATAGCGCTTAGCGCATAACGCATAGCGCATAATGAGTATCGCTTATCGAAAACTCGAAAGTCGAAACTCGCATATCGCGTTATGCCAATAGCGCATAGTGGATAGCGCATAGCGCATAGCGCATACTGCATAGCGCATAACGCATATCGCTTATCGAAAACTCGAAAGTCGAAACTCGAAAATCGCATATCGCGTTATGCAAATAGCGCATAGCGCATAGCGCATAGCGCATAACGCATATCACTTATCGAAAACTCCAAAGTCGAAACTCGAAAATCGCATATCGCGTTATGCAAATAGCGCAAAGCGCATAGCGCATAGCGCATTGTGCATAGCGCATAACGCATATCGCTTATCGAAAACTCGAAAGTCGAAAGTCGAAACTCGAAAATCGCATATCGCGTTATGCAAATAGCGCATAGCGCATAGTTCATAGCGCAGAGCGCATAGTGCATAGCGCATAGCGTATAAAGCATATCGCTTATCGAAAACTCGAAACTCGAAATTCGCACATCGCGTTATGCACGTAGCGCATAGCGAATAGTGCACAGCGCATAACGCACATAACGGGACTCTGCTGCGTCGGTCTTGCCTTAAGAATTTGTATTTAATTTAGTTTATTACTATTATTATTGTTATTGTTAAACAATAATAACAAACGGATAACTGTTTGTGTCGTAATGTTGCATATGAGTTTTAAATGAAGATAATAAAAAAAAAAAAATATTAATATTATAATATTTTGAACTCATACTTATGTGAAAGGTCTACATTGATTATTGAGTTTAAAAGTTTGGACAAAATAAAATGTTATGATCAGACGGAATACCTTTTTTATGTTTTGCAGCAATAAAATTATTTTGATATGTAACCCTTTTTTATTGCAAGTATTACATTACACACACACGCACACACGAGCGCGCAATTGACACTGTTATTAAAGTACAAATGTTGCATTTGGTACAAATTGTATTTTGTGTGCAGAGAACCGCGAGGTTGGCGGCACGCGGCTGCACGGAGGGGGCTTTGCTGTTTGTTTCTGTTGACACGGAGAGTCGCTTGGTTGTTGTTGTTTCTGTTTCTGCCCGCATGGAGTCCGATTTTGAGTCACTTTACGTTCGCAAGGCGTGGTTTCCTCTCCCAAATTTAGTTCTTTTGAGAGTGTATTTTCGGACACGTTTTTGTCATCGCCGATATTTTTAACGGGCGGTGAATCTTTTCGACAGCCTGCGAGCTTTTTTTGAATATTTTTTATCGAAAGCCAAGAGTCGCATTTACCGTAGTAAGTGGAGTTCGGGTCTTGCGTGAGGGCGTCGGCAGAGGCTGTGGGGCCGGCGGGGCGAGCGCTGCGGCCCGCAGGCGGCGCGCCGCTCAGCAACGATACATGGATGCGCACTGCCGCGCCGCCGCCGGCCGCGCGCAGCTCCAGCTGACCGCTCGCACACGTCTCCTCCGTCTCTTCCAGGTTCCTATCACGTCCGCGACCCGCATCTTTTAGTTTGTTTCTATCATTCAACATTTCGTTTAGTTTATGAGCATCGGCCTTAATTTTAGCAGCGACTTCACCGAAATCTTTTCGTTCTGTCGGCGCAATGTTTTGTGATAAGAAAGCAGCGGTGTGAAATTTGCGAATTTCTTTAGCGGAATTATTCGACCTTCGTTTGATTTTTTCGACCAGAGACGCTTTGACACAATCGGGTAGTTGAGGCTTAATTTTCGGCCGAGAGGAGCACCAGTCCGTCAGTGGGCCGAGAGCTGATCCTTTGCAGCTCTTTTTGGCATTATCGTTTTCACGTTCATTGTTATTATATTGAGCAGAGCTCGGTGTCGAAACGAACGGAGTTGTTGTTGCTCTCGGTGGTAGAGATGATTGGGCAACTTTGGAGACCTCGCTACGATCCATTTCGAGTAAAAGGCGCGGGCGGTGGCCGCACGGGTCGACGTGAGATGAGCGATTGATAACACAACCTTTAGCCGGATCAAGTTCTACGTTTGAAGTTCTTTCGTCGTGCTCACATTTCGGTTGCGATTGGGATAGCGAGGGCAGCACCACGTAGTCGCGGCCGTCGGTGGCG